TAGTTCTTTCTTAATCCTCTGCTTCATAGCCCTCACTGATCAATTTGGATTTATTTTGAGTTCTTCCATATTTTTTTAGCCAATTTGTGGAGTTCATGTTCGTATTGTAGTTTGATTTACCACTTAGTGCTTGCTAACATAAGTCTTCACTTGAAAACACACTTTTGCCCTAAACTTGAGATGCATACAACAACTAGCCCTCATCATTTTCTTGTCATTCTTAATTATTTTAATATTTCGCTAATTTTTAATAAAATATTCTCTATTAGCATCCTTCAATTGAGCTAATGTAATGAAAAACATCCCTAATTTGAATTGAAGGTTCCTCATGTCTATTTCAGGTCTGAATTGCTTGAACCTATACTTTCTTGGCTTCTCACACTCCTCTCTAGATGAGCTATCAATACTGACCAATTCACTTGGGGATCCATAATCAGAGTTAATATCTTTAGGGTTCAACTCTTCGTTGACATTTGAATGCCAATAGATTCTTTGCATCCCTCTTGTTTATTTAGAACTGGCCCATTGAACTTCCATATCCACATTATCATCATTGAACATTCCATATCATCAACAAAATTTTTATATTCAGTAGACTCTAAATCAGTTTGGTTTGCTTCCTCCACATATTCAGAATCTAATTCAGAGTCTGTATCTCCACTAACCATTGGGTTATTCTCACCTTGTTCTGGCAAATCATCTGGATACACAAAATACACCCGAACAAGTCTATTACTTGGAAAACACTGAAACATTTGCATTATTGCCTTATCGCGAGACATATGCTTCAAACCAATAGCCAAATCGCAACCAAGAACTCTGCAGAAGGCCAAATATAGTGCATACCCTAGCTTTTCAGTAGAGGTTTCCATGGGTCGGGTTACCCACTAGGAGTGCAACTCGAGCGGGTTGGACAGTCAACCCTAGCCCAACCCTATGTATATAATATTCAACCCTAACCCTAACCCTACCTCGGGTTGAGAAACTCAACCCGAACACTGCCTGAGTTTAATTTGGGTGGACTCGGGTTGAATTCGAGTTAATGATTTTAGGTTGATTTCGAGTTACTTTACGGGTTCTATTCGGGTTGAGTTCGGGAAGAGCCCAAAACAAGCTTGTTGTTCTAAACCTAATACATATATTACATATTATTCACCTCAATTAACAACCAATAACTTCAACCAAGTTTTTAACAGTGTTAATGCTAGAACAAAAATGAAAATGAATGAGAGAAACAGAGAACGATAGAACAAAAATGAAAAATCAGTGTTAATGCTTTATATATATATATATATATAATTTTTTTAATTTGTCGGGTTCGGGTTCGGGTTGAACCCGTGAACCTGAGGCCTTAACCCGAGCCCAACTCAAATTGAATTCGAGTTGGGATTTTTTCACCCAAGTCCAATACAAGTATTAAAAAATCCTTGCTCAAGCTTTAATTTTTTCGAGTTGGGCTCAGGTTGAAATTGGGTTGCCAAACCCAAGTTGAACCCCTATTACCCACGGGTTTCGTTATCTGGCCCAGAAAAAAATAGGCCCGAAACTCGATAGGCCCGCTCGAGTCCAAGCCTAATATCCTTAAAAAGGGGGCTTGAGTTTGCCTCCAAACCCATTATCTAGCCCAAGAGCCCGCCCGTCAAGCTTGCCCTCCAAGCCCAACCCGTCCACCCTTCCTTTGAAAAAAAATTATACTTTTAGATCATTAAATTTAAAACTTTGAAATAAGTCTCTCAATGTTGTAATTTAAAGTTTTAAAAATTTAGATACTATAAATAATATATTATTTTATTTTTCATGTATTAAGCATACAAGTTTTAAAGGGTAGAGTAATGCAAATGATAGATAAGTGAGTAGATGTCAACCTAATTGGAATTTATTCATTCAATTGGATGTAGTTCATTCCCTAATTAAAAATAAAATTATTCATTATTTTATTTTTATCCATTTTGACTTTAGTTTTTATTCAAAAATATAATTTAAACAATTATTAAGTTACAAAAATATTCATTATTTTTAAATAAATTTGAATATAAAAAAATCTGCGAGCAGGCCCCGCCATCAAGCCCACCCACAGGCTCGCTCAATAGGCTCACGGGTTGAACTATGAGTAGCCTACCCCTACCCAAAGCCCAGCCTGCCCCGTCCAATAACTCATTTGGGTAAGAGATTGGGCCTACACTATCCAACCCGGCCCGAAAAAAATTTCCCAAGTGTAATCCGGCTAGGCCCATGAACACCCCTACTTTTCAGGAATATCATCTAATTCCAACAAAGAGAATTTGTCTGGATCAATACTTTTTAGGATATCAACCGTCCCCCACCAACATATGTTTTCACTGGTTTATCTATTAGTTACCCACCATAATGAACCTCTATTGATATTGATGATACCTCAAAATAAATTACAAACGCCAGCTCAGAAGGTCAGCTCAGCCCAGGAGGTCAGACTAGACGAAACAGAACTCGGAAGAGTAGAGCTGGAGGTCCCTTCGAGATAAGCAAGGGCAATAACAACTAAGGCAATAGCTGGAAGATCACGAGAGGTTCCTAAAAGCGTTAGGAAGCAATAATCGAGGCAGCTAATCGCAACCAACCAAGATCTTCCCCTATAATCAAGGAGAAACCCACAAAATAAGGGCAACAATCTCAGCTAAGATCCCACTGAATAGGGAACAGCCCTATAAATACTATGTAATGCCCCCAAGGAACGAGAGGAACCCTAGAGACAAAAATTAGCCATTGTACTCTTGCAATCATCATTATTGAAAGATAAGGAGCAAGAGTCTCCATTAAAGAGTGGATTAGCCAAGCTCCCGAGCTAGTGAACCACTATATTCCTACTGTGTTAATTCTCTAATTTCCCGATAATTCTCAGTATCATTCACTCGAGTCTAGTAGCTCAGATCCCAACAATTCTAATATTATTTTCTTTCATTTACTCGTCATTACAAATTCTCATCACGTTGAAATACACCATCAGTTTGGCGCCGTATGTGGGAACGACTGTTCCTATTACAAATAAAGCTAATTTTTCAGTGACTGATGGTATCAACGCGAAACATGAGCCGAAGTCAGACCAATCCTCTACAGGTGCAAGATCAATAGGAAGCCGCAAATAACAGGTAACCCAAAAATGTTCAAGAAACAGATCCCCCAATGGGGGGCTTTCCCATGAATGATGAGATGGAGGCCTAGGAATGGACACAATGAGGAAGTGCAAAGTCAGTATAAAGAAGGGGAGAAGAGCGACTTCTTCCCTTATCAACAGGAGAGAAGAGAACACCACTAGGAACAACGTTTCAAAGACATCCAGCAAGAGCTCAGCCAGATGAAGGAGGCAGTGAAGAGCAAGGCCCCAGTCACTATGGATGCCTTGATGTAGCAAACCAAATCCCTATTCACTGCTGGGGTACTGCACTTCCCTCTCCCACCTAAATTCAGAATGTCGTAGGTGGATGCTTTCGATGGGACAAAAGATCTCATGGACCACCTCAATACCTACAAAAACCAAATGGAGTTGCATGGATATCAAGATCCAATGAGATACAGGGTCTTTGCTATCACCCTAAAGGGCTCAGCCTTAGCATGGTTCAACAAACTCCCCCCAACCTCGATTTTCTCTTTTAAAGAGCTATCAATCTCGTTTGTGTCCCACTTCATTGGAGCTTGGACCTATAGGAAATCGAGCTACCATTTGTTAAATGTGAAACAGGGACCTAATGAGAACCTACGGTCTTATGTCCAATGGTTCAACTCAGAATCTTTGAAGGTGGATATCCTAGATGAAAATTTTGTTATTATAGCCTTCATAGCAGGTCTGGGGGTTCAGTCAAAAGACCTGATGTTTTCTATCTCAAAGAACCCCCAGGCTAGTATGGCGGAGGTGCTCGCCAAAGTAGAAAAGCACATAAATGGTGAGGAAGCGCTACTCTCCAAGGTCGGGAGCTCTTCGTCGAGAAAGGAGAAACGGAAGGAAGAAAATAAGAGAGAACGAAGTCCCATAAAGGAAAGAGAACGAGGCAGGTCTCCAAAAAGAGACAGAGAGTGTTCTCCGAAGAAAAGGAGAAATGTCAGGGATCGCCTCAGCCCTCCGCAACCAGAGCTACAACCGAGGTATGCACCCTGGCAGTTCACCCCCCTGACTGCTATAGTGTCTCAGATACTATATGAGGTGCAAAATAATAAGTTCTTAAGGTGGCCAACCCAGATGAAAGTAGACCCGACAAAAAGGGATCCTACGAAGTATTGTGACTTCCACAGAAACCATGGTCATCACACCGACGATTGTATCCAATTGAAAAGGAAAATAGAATTTCTAATCCGACGAGGGCAGTTGTGATGCTATATAGCCAATGATAATCAAAATCGGGCTCTCCCACTCCCACCCCTCAGCGTCAAGCACCAGAGCCACACCAGTAACCTATGGGAGAGATCAGAGTGATATCTAGAGGATTTACCGGAGGAGAAAGATCCAGCTCTGCCAGAAAGGGCCACTTGTGAAAAACCAAAGCCACAGAAGCTCCCGAAGTATATACTGTGTCTAAATCTCCACGCTTGGACACGGTTATCACTTTCTCAGATTCAGATCTGGAGGGCTGCCAACATCCCCACAACGACCCATTGGTGGTAAGAGCTGTGGTGGCCAACAAAACTATCCATCGTGTTTTGATTGACAATGACAACTTGACAGACATCATTTTTGCTTCTGCTTTTGACAAATGGATATAGGAAGGGAAAAACTTGAACTAGTAAGTGTCCACCTATTGGGATTCTTAGGAGAAATGGTGTTGTCACTGGGGTCAATTCAACTCATCTTGACCTTAGGTGACCCACCCTGTCAGACTACTACAGCTGTGAAATTCCTAGTGGTTGACGCACCTTCAGCATACAATATGCTCCTTGGAAGACCCTCGCTCAATTCTATAAGGGCTATTCCCTCTGCCTATTCCCATGTAGTGAAGTTTCCAACAGAAAACGGAGTTGGAGTGGTCCGAGGAGACCAACATGTAGCACGGGAATACTACATGGCATCCACGAGAAATAAGGAGGTTGAGAGCATCCAATTAGATGAGCTTGACATGAGGGACGAACTCGAGACCAGGCCAACACCATTACAAGAGCTGGAACTTGTTCAAATCGATGAGGAGCTAGAGCATCTTGTTTACGTTGCATCCAAGCTGAGCAAGGAGATCAAGGATCTCCTCATCCAATTCCTGAAAAGGAACAAGGAATTTTTTGTATGGAAGCAAGAGGACATGAAAGGGATTGATCCCTCTATCATCACTCACAACCTCAGCGTGAATCCAGCCTGTAAGCCCATTAAGTAGAAGAGGAGGAGCTTTGCCCCGGAGTGTCAGAAAGCCATCAATGACGAGGTCAGCAAGCTCCTTCACATAAAAGTCATTCGAGAAGTGGATTACCCAATCTGGCTAGCCAATGTAGTCCTAGTCAAGAAGACAAACGAAAAATGGTGTCTTTGCATTGACTTTACAGACCTCAACCGTGCTTGCCCGAAAGATAGTTTTCCTTTACCCCAGATAGATTTGATTGTAGATGCCACTGCGGGACATGAGCTCCTCAGCTTCATATATGTCTTCTCGGGGTACAATCAGATCGAGATGGATCCCAGTGACCAAGAGAAAACCTCGTTCATAACCGAGCAAGGGACGTACTGCTACCAAGTGATACCTTTCGATTTAAAAAATGCAGGAGCCACTTACCAGCTTCTGGTGAATAAGATGTTTCAAAAATAGATTGGGACCTCCATGGAGATCTATATTGATGACATACTGGTCAAGTCACTGAAGGCAGAGCTCCACATTGGGCACCTAGCAGAGTCGTTTCAGGTCCTGAGAGAATATAAGATAAA